TCCAGGCATACCATCTGCCAAAGTTCACAAATTTAAAAAGTTTAGCTTCTCTGTGCCACATTTCCTTATCTACAAAATGGAGACAATAATAGCAGCTGCTCCATAGATTTGTTGTAAAATTTAAAGATAATAAAGGCATTTAAAGTCCACAAGAAATAGTCAATAAATGATGAAGATAAAGATGATAGTTGTAAAAAAAAATGATAATGATTATCTTAACTCTTCAACAATTTGTTCAGGGTCACATAACAGGTAACATGAGGGTATGGGTGCAGCACTGGCCTTGTCTGCGACAGGGGAGGAGGCCAGCACCTGCCTCTCTGTCAGTGGGCAGATCCTGCAAGGCCTCCTCAGGTTGTAAGAAGGGGATTAGACTCCATCCTAAGGACACTAGGGAACTTCTGAAGGGGTTTGAGCAAGGAGGAGACACGATTGGCCAAACATTTTAGAAGGATCCTGCTGGCTGCTCGATGGGAAACGTGCTAGAAGGGCAAGAATGGAGTCAGATGGTCCAGCGATGGGCTTTTGGTGTGACCAAGAGAGGGCTGATGGTGTGCACAAGTGGATGGAGAGAGGAAGGTGGCTTCTACTTCCTGTGGTAACAAGAATAGCAAGGGCTGAATCCCAGCTCTGCCCCTCCCTGGCTATGGGCTTTAGGCACTGGCTTCATAGCATCTTTGTCAGAATGAACGGGGGAATACATGTTTTAGTAGTAGTATTCCAGACATGTTCTGGAGGCAAACTGGGGAGCACGAGAGGTGAGGGAGAACTGATCTAGGATGACTCTTGGATTTCTGGTTTAAGGAAATGGGTGGATAAGTCAGGAATTACTCAACAGTGGGCATGTCAGGTCTTGGGTAAATGGGAGGAGGACATGTTTGGGATCTGTGGGCGGAATCTGTTGAGGCCCCCGCCAACTCTGAATCCGGGTCCTCACCCTCCATGGGCAGGGCACGGTGGGTCCAGCGTAGGCAGCCGAAAGGGGCAGAACCGATTGGGAAAAACAACAGTCCAACTTTCTGAAAGGCTAGGCCCTTTCAGTGCTCTGTGTGGCCCTGGGTAAGTCACCTTATCATGTGGGACCCGAGCTCACACATGTGTGCATGGGGGAGACAATTGTGCCCAGGTCTGGTCTCCCACACACTGAGAGCCGGGAAGTACAGATGATGATGTTGAAACACTTCTTCCTTTGAGGTCCCACTCATGTGCCACCTCTTCTGTATCGCCTCTCCTGGTTCCCCAGCCAGAAGCAACCCCTCTCCACTCTGGGCTCCTAGCACCTCCACGCTCTGGGCACTTACAGGACTGTATCTGGCCTCTGCCCGCCTGACAGCCCCTGGCACCGGCTGGCACACACAGGCGCTCACTGCCACATGTGCTGCTTTGCGTCCCCTCCCTGTAAGCAGCCAGCACGAGCCCAGGGCTAATCCAGAACCTGCTGTCATGGTCCCAGCCAACAGGGGACCTGGGGTCCTTCTTATGAAAAGTCCTAGTGTGAAGCAGAACAAAGGAATCAAGGCCCACCCAGCAGCTGCACTCAGGGAGCCACAGACAGACACCATTAATAAAGCACTTTTTAAATCATTTATTAAATCCTTATAGTTATCCGGAGGAGGAAGGTGGGTGTACTTTTCCAGTGTAGTTTCACATGCACAGAAAAGTGTCTGAAGACACTCTATGAGCCAGTGGGAAAGGTTCCGAGAGGGCCAACTAGCCAGGAACTAGTGGAGGCTTGGGAGATGCTCTCCCACCCTGAGGAGGCACAGAGTCACCAGAAACTGTCCCCTCCTGCCTCCTGCTAAGGGCGGTGTCTGCCCCCAGGCTGCCCACAAGCTCTTCTCCTAAGACTTTGCATTTCTCTGGGCAGGCTGGGAGTGGAGGACAAGGGTTGTGGGGATACAAAAGGCCCTGGTTTGCCCAAAGAAAGGGCTCCCTCTTCGGATGAGAGTGGCCCTATTAGCCAGCATCACCCCCTCCCCACCCAAGGCCACTGAGGCAGCCCCACAGCCCCGACCCTGGCTCAGTCAGACTCATCTGACATTGTCAGGAACAGGAGGCCACGGGGCTTCTCGCCAGATAGGTTTGGAAGCGTCCACATCCGCTCCCCACTACTCCCACATACAGAATACCCGCGTACAAACAGGCACACACATAGACACATGCCACTCACTGACTTCCACATATGCACACAAATGCAAAACACAACAAGGTCATACTCAAACACAATCATCCAAGTGCACATGCATGCCCTCCATAGACAAAAAGCAGCGGGGGCAGCAGGGGCAAGGGAGACAGAGAGGAGGGGCACAGGTCATGCCTTTTCCTACCTTCCTCCTCCACTTGTGAAATACCATACATCCTGCAAAGTTCAGATCAAACGCCACCTCCCCCATGGAGGCCGCCCCGATTTCCCACAGGAGCACCAGGTGCTCCACCCTGCGCCCTCCCCTGGCTCTCTCTCCTCCATCTGATCTTTGCCACATTCTGTCTCCTCCTACTACAGCTCCCTTAAAAGATAGCTAGTGTGTACCCTTTGCATTTTATTTTTTACCCCTTCCTTTAGGCTCCTGTCTGGAATGGAGACCCGGTGGCTGGTGCTGTAGCTACCATTTTGGGCCACGAGGTGAGGGCCACACCTTCGGGAGGGCGGAGTCACAAGCTGGAAGGACCTGGGTCCCTGAGGGTTTTGTGGGGCAGAAACATCATGCCAGCCCTGGACTGCTTGTTTCCAGATTTTTATGTGAGAGAAATAAATTTTATTTTGTTTAAGGCGATTATTTTGGGTCTCTGCTACTTGCAGACAACCCGTTTTAACTGATACACTGGGATTTCTGGCTCCTTCTCCACCTCTCCTTGCATCTAATCACCGGACCCTTCTGATTCTACCTCCTTGATGTGTCCCAGATCTGGTACCTTTTCTCCCGCGCGGCTACTTCTCCCTGAACTCCGACCATCAGAATTTCTTGCCTGGATCACTGTGTCAGCCTCTTTTCCACTTACTCTCCCCACTTCTTAGGCTTGTTCTTTCCAATCCATCTTTCAGACCAGTAACTCAAAGTAGCTTTTTTTATGAGGAAGTTAAATATGTACATTACAGAAATCAATATAAGAAATATCCACGCCCAGAATGGTGACAAGTGTTAATAGTATCTGTAATTTTTTATGAAGCAAATATGACAAAGTTGTGTTGTTCCCTCTACAAGAGCGAACACCCTCTCATGCCTGAACTATATCCTTGGTGTATTTTTTCAAACTTTTACATACCTTTATGAGTGAAGGTATGGTATGGTTTTGTGTAGTTTAGATTTTTATCTAAATGGTGTCATACCTATACTGTACCTTGCTTTTTGTTTTGGAGGTCTATCCATGTTGATACCTGTAAACTGAGTTCATTCATGTCAGTAGCTCTACAGTGCTCCATGGTGTGACTGTAACAACATATCCATCTATTTCCCTAATGATGGGCAACTAGGGTCTTCCTCTGTTTTGCTTTTAAAAACAATGCTTCACAGACATCCTTAAACATGTGTGAAGTCTCTAGGGTCTACACCTAGAAGTATAATTGCTAAGTCTTGAGGATAGTGGTTGTTATGGGTGGCAATGCATCCTCTAAAAAGATATAAGTTCTGGGCCGGCCGAATGGCTCAGTTGGTTAAGAGCTCACTCAAGAGTTTGAGCTCTGAGCAACAGCGGTTCGAGGCCAGCCCGAGCTGAGCAGCCGCTAAGCTGCCAATAGGTAGCAGGATGGCTCAGCTAAAAAAAAAACAAAACAAAACAAAAAAAAGATATAAGTTCTAACCCTAGGTACCTGTGAGTGTGACTTACTTACAAGCAGGGTCTTGGCAGATGTAATCAAGTTAAGGTAAAGCCATTAAAGTAGACACTAATCCAATATGACTGGTGTACTCATAATAGAAGAGACACAGACACACACACACAGGGAGCGAACCCCATTAAAGATGGAGGCAGAGATTGGAGCGATGTGTCAACAAGCCAAGGAACTGCCAAGGATTGCTGAACACTACCAGCAGCAAGAAGAGAGGTCTGAAACAGATTTTGCCCCAGAGACTCTGGAAGGAACAAACCCTGCCAACATCTTGATTTTGGACTTCTAGACTCGAGAATTATGAAAGAATAAATTTTTCTTGTTTTAAACCATCCAGTTTGTGGCAATTTGTAGGAAATTTGTATGGCAGCTGTAGAAAACTAAACCAGTGGTAAAATGAAAAGTTGTGGCCTGTGGGAGCATAGGATGAGGTCAGAGAGAGAACAGATGAGTCTTAGACAGTAAATTGGGGAGACAGTAAATTGGGGCTGGAGTGGGAAGGGCGTCTGGACTTATTCATGCAGACAGTGTGATAACACAGAGGATAAATTAAATTGACAAGGGACACGGTTCTATTGGGGTTTTAGAGAAAAGTGACAGAGAAACAGCCGTTGTTCCGAGTAAATGTGTTTGAATTATTCAACTTCTGGAATCTCAAACTCATCCGCTTTTTCCTTTAAAAGCTATTCATTCCCTTCCACACACAACTGCAAGGATTTGGCAAACTCAGGTTTGTCATTAACAACCACGGGTTATTTTGTGCTTTCTTAAGCAGGCCCTGTTTTTAAGACATAATCGGCTAATCTCATTTAATCCTCACAAGTGCCCCCTGGAAACAGGCACATGATCTTCACTACAGAAATAAGGTAACAGTCAGAAAGGCGAGGTGATTTGCACTTCGGGAAACATCCGGTTGACGATTTTGGATGCCACCACCTTCGTTACCGGCTGCATGGCGTTAAGCAAACGACTTCACCTTCCTCAACCTACATCGGCCTTCTTTCAAAATGGCATAGTTGCTGCTACCTCTTCGGTCCAGCCCGTAGTGGTGACATGAATGAAGCGTGTCAAGCGCCACAAACCGCGAAAAGCAGTGTCGTCACCACTTTCCGGGACCACGTGGCCCGGGCTGCGCAGACTCGGGGGCGGGCCGACCCCCGGCTGCACGCCCGCCCAGGCGCTCGCGCCGGCCGCCAGGGTCCGCTGTGACGCGGCCCGGGCCGGGCCGCTCTAGCCTCCCCTGGGGAAGTCGCTGTCCTTACCTTCAGCGGGAGCCCGCGCCTCCGTCTTCGCGCCCGCTAGCCCTCCGCTCCGTGCTGCAGCTACCCACTGCCCGCTTGCCGCCCGCCATGGCCCTGCTGCACTCCAGCCGCATCCTGTCCCGGGTCGCCGCCGCCTTCCACCCAGGCCTCGCGGCCGCGGCTTCTGCCAGAGCCAGGTAAGCCGGGGAGACGGGGCCGGGACCACAGGCCTTCCTAGCCTAGCTGTGGGCACCCTAGGACATCGAGACTACCCCCCCACACACCCCCACCCCAGCACACACACGTTCTCTGCCACCCCCTCTGCTGCTTCACAGGGGGCTGAGGATTGAGCGGCCGCGCTTCACAGTGACCCGCGCGGTTCTACATCCCTCCCCGCCCCTGCCCCCAGGACCGCCGGAGAGCGATGCAGCGCGTTCCCCTGAGTTAGGAAGTGTGGCCCTCTACGGCACCCGGACTCCCGTGCAAGGGTCGGGGGTCACGAGACGCAGATTCGGCACAGGTGGGGGGGCGGGAGCGGGGGGCAAGGGGAGAGCTCGTGGGCTGCGGCGCCGGACCGGCCTCGCGCCAATTGGCTGCAGCGCTGCGGGGGGTGGGGGGGGAACGCCCTTGACAGGCTGCCCTGCGGGACCGCGGTGCCCACCTGTCGTGGTCTCCCTCGGCCAGAACGGGCTTGGCAGGCCGGCGGCTGGCTGCCGTTTGTGTGCCTGGGGAAAGAAAGCTCACGGGTGAAAGGTTCTGGGACCCGGGCATTGAGGCACGGCTATCCTCTGCATCCCATGACCTTGGCGCGGCATCCTCGGCCCCCCTCCCTCCCGTATTATCACCCGAGTCACCCGTGACCTCCCTCCCGCAGTTTGGCCTTTGGATGGAAGAGGGTTGGGGTGTAGTGCACCTCTTTTTTTTTTTAAGCTCTTTGGCGGTCTCGATGTAGGGAAGTGGCCATCTCTCCATCTCACTACGCTCTTTCAGCAAATATTTCATCTTCCAAGTTTCACATAGCCAGGCGCTGGACCAGATACTGTTGATAGTACAAGCCATGAACAGGCTTGAGGGAGGGACAGGTGTCACAAAAAAAATAACAAGTATATAATTTCAAACTGTATAAGTATTGCGGAGAAAAAGTCCGGCGCTTTCAACAAATTAGTAATTCCTTCCTGGTGGAGACCTGAGCCAGGCGATTTAATTCACCCCAGAAACGGATTGGGCTGGGCAGCCGGGTGACTCAGTTGGTTAGAGCGTGTGCTCTGAGCAACAGGGTTGCCGGTTCGATCTCCACATGGGCCATTGAGCTGTGCCCTTCGCAACTAGATTGAGGACAATAACTTGACTTGGAGCTGATGGGTCCTGGAAAAAACACAATGCCCCCCCCCAAAAAAACCACCACATTGTTCCCCAATAAAGTTTAAAACAAAAAAAAGAAGAAGCCAATTGGGGACAGTGTCTTTAAGCACTACCTAATCGGGTACCGAGTTTCCAAACCACCAAACCAGATATTATCTCCAAGGAGCAAAGCCTTGACCTTTTTATGTGCTTTGGCCTTTTGTTTGAAAGTATGTATATGCTTCAAGCCAGCAGAACAGTTTGTCCCTCACAGCTCCCCACACTCTTGGCAGTAGTTTTGCCCAGGCTCTCACACTTTCTTCTCTCCTTGATTTGGTTCCTTCTTGGCTCACTGTCAAGGTGTGCTCTTTAAGTCAGCCTACCTAGTGGACCAGAATTGGGGAGGGAGTATCATTTATGCTGTAAATTTGGAGAACATAAAGGGGTGCATAAAATTACGGGCAAAAGGAAGTCAGTTTCACTATAGTGAAAGATTCACTATAGTAATCTTAACCTCGTTTTATGGATTTGGCTGGGTGGCCTGCAGCTCTCCTTAGAGGGCTTGGTGAAAATCCCTATGGGTGTGACCTTTTAGTCATTCTTGCAGTTTGAAAGCCTGACTCATTTTGCTTTTCTGCCTTTTCCATCAGAATGTAAATTCCATGAGAGTAGAGACCGTACCTATTTTACTGTTATAGCTCAGCACTTAGAACAATGCCTGTATGTCTTTCAAATTGAATACTTTTATTTTAAACTTTGTGGGGTTTTTTAAATTAATGAATAGAAACAAATATGCCATCTTAATACTGTACCGTAGATTAAAGTCTAAACATATAGGAGAACTACAGTTGCAAAATGTGTATCAAAAATATAGTCTAAAAATATTTGAGCGCGTACAGTTGAGGTGCTATTGAGGTTTAAACATGATACGTGACTGGGTGATAGAACCACATGCTATATCTGGCTGTGACTGCTACCTGTTCAGACAGACAAGACAGTGGGAACCTTCACTCCTGCCTCTGTAAGAGTGATCTTTACCTAAAGCCAAATGTTTAAAATTGGAGAACATTGAAAATAAATTCAACTAATTGAAGTTTCTTTCCAAAAAAAAAAGCTCATTGTAATACAGTAAAGCCCTGGCAGTTGGTATTCTGACAAACTGAGGATCTATCCTATGAAGTACTTGATTTTCACATGTGGATCATTTAAATGGAAGTCCCTTAAGTTTAAATGTTTTGTCTAGCTACGTTTATAAAACAGCACTAAACATTTAACCTTTTCTTATTGACCTGTACTATAAAAGCATAGTGGCATTAAATCAGACATAGTCACAGGTCAATGAAGAAAGAAAAATATGCTGAACTAATTTGATTTAGAACAATCTGCTCTTAATTATTTAATTCTGATTATTTATTTTTTAATGAAATAACTGAAGGAGTATCATGAGACCCTTTAGAAAGGCAGTGTGCAATAGTGGTGCAGTAACCAGTAGTTAGAACACCAAAATTATCATATTTTTTTAAAATTTAATTTGCAATTACAATTAACATTCAATATTATATTAGTTTCAGGTATATAGCATAGTGGTTAGACATTTATATAACTTACGAAGTGATCCCCCTGATAAGTCTAGTGCCCACCTGGCACCTTACATAGTTATGACAATATTATTGACTATGTTCCCTGTGCTATACTTTACATCCCCATGACTCAAAATTGTAGAGTTGTGTTTGCTATTTTTAGCTCTGTGATCATGAGCAAGTTAGTTAACTTCACTTATAAAATTAGAATGTGGGCCGGCCATGTGGCACGTTGGTTAGGAGCTGGCTTGGGACGCCAGCTCTGAGCAGCAGGGCCCCAGTTCAGATCCCACATGAGGGCCAGTGACACTGCCCTCTACAGCTAAGATGGTGAGCAACAGCTCGACCTGGAGCTGGGCGGCCGTGAGTCGCCGGCAACGGCGTAGGCTGCAGCCCCTGCTGCAGTGGGTTGCCATGGGCTACCGTGTGTGGTGGGTAGTCAGCGTGTGTCCAGAGGCCGGCAACTGATCTGCCTTACCCAGGAAGAGCGCAATGATAATGCCAACATGGGCCAGTGAAGCAACGTCCTCCACAACTAGACTGAACAATCAAAGGACACCAACTTGTCTGTTCCCCTCCCCCAATTGCCCAATAAAATCTTTAAAAAAAAAAAATGTGAGGGGAAGCATGTTAAAAACTAAAGTATGAGGTAGGCTCCTGGGGAAACGGCAAGGTACTTGAATTGAAAATGCTTATCTGAATGCTTACTTAGTAGCTGACATCTTTTGGCTGGCTAGCCACTATTGCTCAATGGCTGAGGCTTTGTGCTTATGGCCAAAGTGCACTGATAGGAATCACTTTGTAGGCCACAGGTATTCCGCATCAACTTTGTCCCCTAGAGCACTCTTCTCTTCACCTAGTACTGTCACTTTTAAAACATCAGAGTTCTTACAGTGCGGGCAGAGTTTTTACCCTTTAAGGGATGGAATAATGAGTGGCATAAAGGACATAAACATGATTACTGATGTAGGACTAACCAAATTGAGAATCCCTGCACCTATATTTAGATTTTTGAGATTCAGTATTTTTCAGTTGCTTTTAGAGTTCTTAAAAGATACTGTTCTCAATCATATCTCTGCCAGAAAACGCATGGTTGTTGTTTCTGAGAGAATGTCTATGCTGGATAAAATTTTGAAAGAACATGACAAATAAGTCCTCTTCACACCATTCAGCAAGGGTGCCTTTTGTCCTTGTGTTAAAGGCAGCGGCTCTGTCATCATTGATTAAAGACCTTGGAAACAGAACCATCTTTTTAAAAATGAAAATTGCTTACTAGAAGCTCTCTATAATATGTCCTTGACATTCCCTTCACTCATCAGTTAATGACAGTGCTGAAGATAGACAGGTGACTACATGTTTCAAGGTCTGAATTGTAGGTAGGAAATGACATTGCTCCAAAGTGTAATAGCCGTTTCTTACTATTGCTTAGATACGGGAACAGCCAGGCAGCCTACAACAATGAAGAAAATGAGAGGGATTTCGAGTTTTGAAATTATTGGTCTTCTCGACTCTTCTGCAAGGTGCTTTGAAGTCTTATGCATTGTTGGGTTATTGGTGCCTATTGCTATACCCTGTGCAGAGTAAACAAGCAAACATTTGTTTAAGTGGATTTGTGGCAGATCCAAGATGTCTCTGGCCATGGAAATCTTGCTCCTGTAACTGATGTCTTATATTTCCCATTTCAGCTCCTGGTGGGCCCATGTGGAGATGGGGCCCCCAGATCCCATCCTGGGAGTCACAGAAGCCTTTAAGAGAGATACCAACAGCAAAAAGATGAATCTGGGAGTTGGTGCGTATCGGGATGATAACGGAAAGCCTTACGTGCTTCCTAGCATCCGGAAGGTGAGCTTGCCATCCAGCCCCTACCTGATTGGGATGAATAAACTGAAGGGAGCTCCCAGAGAGCAGCAGAAAGATTGCTGGACCTGAAGTTAGAAGACCTGGGTTCTGGTTCTGATACTGACTGACTGCTTGAATCACGTAGATTTTCTGGGCTGTAGTTTCCTTGGCTGTAAAAGTGAGAGGTTGGAACTACATGGTCTTTTCCAAGATTGAACTTCTTGTAATTATCTATCAAACAGGCATAATGGCATGTTTAATTCTGAGAGTGCACAAATGGACCAAGAATTTAAACATTATCTCTTGGTGATCGGAGTAGCCCTTCGTGGATGAGGGTTACTCTTGTTATTTTCCATTTCTCTCATTTTAATTGCCTTAACAAAGCCCTCCTACACAGGCGTGCTCTGTCCTTTCTTCCTGTTGAACTACAGAATAATTGTCTTTATTTTTGTTGTATATGTATTAATAGTCTTTTTATTAGTTATCATTATAACGCTAAGTAATGTAACTAATCCCCTTAGAACAATTTTTTTAAAGAAAGTATGTCTTCCTTTCCATCTGCATCTGCTCTGATGAATTATGACTGCTGCTTTGTCACTTCCGAAAGTGTGTCATTCCTCCATACGGCAGAGCTAGCCCATGAGTGGCAGTTACAGAATAGTACTTTTGGGTAAGAGTAAAGAATTCTGTAATCATCTGAGCTGTGCACCATGCAACAGACTGGCTCAGGCCCTCGTGAGGTGCTGCAGCAATAGAGCAGGAGCTGAATAAACCACTGAAAGAAGAAATTGCTGAGTGTACAGGAACACACATTAGGTGTCATCTGTACAAGTCTCCGAATAGCAAAAAGCACTCAAAAAACAAGGGTTTGCTTTTGGTCTCAGGAAGTCAATTTAAAGCATTCAGCAAGTGTTAGCTATTGTTGCAAGCTGGAACACCACCACGTACTTTTTTGTACGTTACCTCTTCAGTTCTTCATCTCTATCATATGAGGGGCAGAAACAGTTGTTCCCCCATTCAACAGATGTGGAAACTAAGACTCAAGAAGGTTAATAAGTTGCCCAGGGTCACATGGCCAGGCCTCTGACTCCAAATCATGAATATGTGCAGCTGTTACTATTAACCCTTTGAAGTTTTTAGACTGGCATGTATCTTGAAATACATTTTTTTTTTAGTGTATTTAGTTTGATTTTATCATCTTGTATTTATTGTAAGTGTTGTGCTTAAACCTTGTTCTTGTACATTCCAAGAATGCCATTTTATGTTAAATGGTAATCAAGAGCCATTATATACCCATCCACATAAAACCTAACTTAAAAAAAATAAAAATATGAAAAAAATACTTTAATATTTTTGTTCTGCAATATGATATATAAAGTGTTCTACTTATCTTGCTTCTTGGACAATATCTCCAAATAAAAAACAAGGCTTTACCGCTAAGATTTAACTTTTTTTTTTTTTTTTAAGATTTTTATTGGGGAATTGGGGGAGGGGAACAGTCAAGTTGTCCTTCAATCTTATTTGTGTAGGGCGCAGCAGGCTCACCTCCCAGCAGCCTTGTTGTTAAAGAGCACGTGCTCTATCCCCTGAGCCATCCTGCCACCTGTTGGCAGCTCAGTTCAGGGCGCAGCATCACTGGCCCATGTGGGAATCGAACTGATGACCCTGTTGCTCAAAGCTTGCACTCTTAGGCAAGCTCTTAACCAATTGACTCGGCCAGCCCTAAGATTTAACTTCTAAAACATTAAATATTGATCGAGGTAATTCCAAGTAAGGCAAAGAAGCTAAATGAATGCATTTTTCTCCTGTCTAGGCGGAAGCCCAGATTGCTGCAAAAAATTTGGACAAAGAATACCTGCCCATCGGGGGACTGGCTGAATTTTGTAAGGCATCTGCAGAGCTAGCCCTGGGTGAGAACAGCGAAGTGTTGAAAAGTGGCCGGGTAAGCAGAGCAGACCTTGGCATCATATAGGATCTGTTTTTAAATTGAATAGTTTAAACAAATTTGAAATACTTTTAACAATTTTAAACAAATAAGAAAATGTAGACCACTCTGTGTGTGAAGATTGTTTTGAGGTGGCCACACTTTTGCTCATATCCTTTCTTTAGATAGTAAATTGGCACTAAGTAAAGATTTCTTATAACACCAATTCCAAACATGTAATAATTTGATAGATTTGGCACTGCTTTTCTGTTAGTCTCTATGTGCTTATGTTCATGTTACATTAAATATGCTTTAGAAATGCCAGCGACTATGCCTAGTTTTAGGCCTATAGTTGAGCCTCTACCCTCATGTCCTAAGATTCCAGCTTAGATAGAGGAAGCAGGAAATAAGCCACAGGTAGACTGTTGAGGTGGGACCAGTCTGGCACTCCTCTGTTGTTCCTTCACAGCCATTTCAGACACTGAAAGGGAGCAGACTATGCTCCCTTCCTGCTGCCTCCCTCCTCTCTCGAGGTCCAGAGAGCATCACTGCAGCCATGGAAGCACACGTGTCTCTTAGTTGTCTCCTTCTAGCTCCCCAGGGAGCCCTCTTATTGTATAAAAAAGGTGGCCCTAAAGGTCACTGGACATAAGCTTTTGCAAGCAGATTCCTGTATGTACCCACTGCAGGCCTGCATTTGTCAAGAAGACTAGCATCACGCAGGTGGGATGCAGCCAGGCCACCTGGACGCCTGACCTGACCCGTGGGCTCATGTGCGTTCTCCTTGACTTTCTTTCGAAACAAATATTTTTTTTCAGTGGATATATTGGTACCTTTCAATATTTATTTTTGTGTGTAAGTCTGGGAAAAACACACAAAGTAGCAAAACTAACCCATCTCTCCCCTCCACACCCCTCCAAGGCCAGAATAAATACATTTTATTCACAAAATGGACCTAAGTCCACAGGTTAGTTCATTGACTCAGAGAAAAGCATACAACCTCAACCGGATGGTGATGTGTTATAATCATAAGTCATGGGCAGAATGTGGTTTGACTGATATCCATATAGTCAACCACCTTTTAACCCCTCACGAAAACTATTTTTTCTGGAATTTTTGCTTAGTGTGTGTACATCTATCAGTCAGTTGTAACCTAAGTACGAGACTGGCCTATCTTAAAATAACATCAGCTTGTACCAACAGGTGGCAGGATGGCTCAGCTAAAAAAAAATAAAATAAAATAAAAAATAACATCAGCTTGTCTTTTATAAATTGCTGTGCCTTTGTGAATTATTAGTATTATCAGAACTACAGTTAGGTTTTTATTTCTATCCAGCCAGAGCTGGCAAAGACAAACTGTTGAGTAAAGAGCTTGTTAATTGGGTTCCCGCCATTTAATTCAGTGTCGCCCAGTCCAGAAAATAAATTTAATAAGTATATTTTGTGGAGCTTTGTATTTCTGTGGTGCCTAAAAAAAACCTTTGATTTCTTATTCATCTCCAAAAGTTGACTGATTCAAAGAGTCAGATTTCCCTCAGCGTCTCTCTGTTACCTAGAAGATGAATACTTTCCGATTCCAAAAACTCATGAAGGGCCCTCTTCTACAACATTGAAAATGTAGTGATGTTATTTTAGTGTACCTATTGACTTGCTTTTTAAGGAACTTTGATGTTTGGAAAGTCATTTAATCTTGCATAATTATAGAATAATGTTGTAATGTAGTGACTATTCCTAGTGTCTTTTTCTCTGTATAAATCACTCCTTTTCATAGGGATCGGGGTTGGGGTAGGGATTCTGTGTCCTGAAAGTTGCACATATAACACAGGATTGCACTAATAACAGGCCAGCCATAAGGAATTAGCTTCAGCATCCGCAAACTGAAGAAACGGCTCTTTTGAGAACTCATGAGGAGCGTCAAGTCAATCTGTCTCTTAGCAAATGGGGAAAGAAACCCTAGTGGTGTTCTCTCATTTCCAAGTACTCCTTTGGAACGTGTCTTCAACTTCCAAAGAAGGAAATGTGTTGACTGTCCAGGGCCGTGTCTCTCTGTACTTGACCTCTGTTTTGTTAACGTTGTGTGCCTGGAGGGTGTGCTGTACCTCACTGACCATGGGTGTCCTTCCCTCAGTATGTCACCGTGCAGAGCATTTCTGGAACCGGGGCCTTAAGGATCGGAGCGAGTTTGCTGGTAAGTCTGGAAAGTCCTTCGGGAAAGAACTGTAAGACAGTCTGTAAGTTAAGAATGATGGGGCTTCCTATTGCGTGTGTGTTTGCTGAACTGGAGGTAGATTTCCTTTTTCCACAAAGTTGGAAGATTTCCTGTTCTCTGTTAAATGGAGTCAGGGGGTTAAAAATGAAAATAATACCTTGGTTTGCAAGCATAATTCATTCTGGAAACAAACTACTCATACTGCAAGACATCACTCGTTTACCAAGTTAAAATATATTAGAAATGTTTGCTCGTCTTGCGGAACACTCGCAAACCAAGTTACTCTCAATCCAAGGTTTTACTGTACTTAGAAGGAATTACAAAGAAGGTATTTATAATATTATGAAATGTTAGAACAATAATAAATACAATTTATTGAGCACATGCTGTTATTAGGAGCTTTTATATATTAGCTCATTTAATCTTTATGAAGGAGGTTCACTTAATGCCATTTTACAGATGAAGAAAGTGAGGCCCAGAGAGGTCCTTGGCTACCCAACCAATATAACTGTCAGAGCCTGGATTCCAACCTAGGCAACCCGCGGCTTAGTCAGCACTGCCTCTTAATCATAGAGAGAAGCTGAGTTTCAGTGGAGAAAAATGTCTGCTCAATAAAATATATCATTCCCTTTTCATTCCCTTTCATCCCATCTCTTAGCAAAGATTTTTCAAGTTCAGCCGAGATGTCTTTCTGCCCAAACCCACCTGGGGAAATCACACACCGATCTTCAGGGACGCTGGCATGCAGCTGCAGGGTTATCGGTACTACGACCCCAAGACGTGCGGCTTTGACTTCACAGGCGCCATGGAGGACATTTCAGTAAGTGTGGCTTCCAGGGCCGGAGGGGTGAAGGAACAAGAAATAAGCCTCCTTGTGGAGACCGGATGCCTCCCTGCTGGGTCTCAATACCTTGCTGAAAATACTGGGGATGAGCTAACTTGCAGACCTCAGGTTATTTTTCTCACTTACCGAGTAATAGTGACTTAGCTCCTTTTAAAGCTGCAAAGCAATCTCTTGGTTGTTTGTCTTTTTAGAAAATGCCACAGCAGAGTGTCCTCCTCCTGCATGCCTGTGCCCACAACCCCACGGGAGTGGACCCTCGCCCTGAGCAGTGGAAGGAGATAGCAGCAGTGGTGAAGGTGAGGCGGGTGAACTGGCGGTGACAATTCTGTGTTCAGTGATTGGCCTTAGATGCTTAACCTGGCACAGTCTTACCAGTGACTGTTAATTAATGCAAGTCCACGTGAAGTGTGCACACTTTGTGAAGTGGCCAGGAAAGAGCTCCTCATTGGCAGGATTAGCAATTCTGTAACTGATGATACGTGAGCAGTTTGACAGTAATTTTTGTTCCTCAACCTGGGTGTAGGGAATTCTGCTAGAACTTGTCATTGGCCGGCCTGTGCAGTAGGCACCCACAGGCACCAGGTGCATCTCGAGACAGACTGCCTTGAGCTTTGGTCTTCTCTTTTCCTTCCCAGAAAAACAACCTCTTTGCGTTCTTTGACATGGCCTACCAAGGCTTTGCCAGTGGCGATGGGAACAAGGACGCCTGGGCCGTACGCCACTTCATCGAACAGGGCATTAATGTTTGTCTCTGCCAGTCCTATGCCAAGAACATGGGCTTATACGGTAAAGTAAAGGACCCAGTGTGATGTGTGTTCTGATGAGCTTGATGAAGTGCTGGGAGAGGACACCACAGAGGTGTGGCGTTTGGTGCGTGCGTGTGTGTGTGTGTGTGTGTGTGTGTGTGTGTGTGTGTGTGTCCCTCCTTACCCAGAGAGGAAAGAAAGGCAAGTAAAATGGATTTTACTGATCGTAGCCATATCTTCTTCAGTGTCCCTGAAAGCCTCCAGCAAAGAGAACTGATTCCTGCTTCTCTAAATACTAAGTGACTGCTCCATGAGCCAAGGAGACGGGTACAAAAAAAAAGAGACGTTTGGACACTCTTGAGTACTCACACTTTCTGTTGTACCTAGATTCACCATACTGGGTGTTAAAAACTTTAACAAAGACAAAACTTGATGTATAACAACGAGTGATTTTTGTGGTGCTTCTTATGGAAACAGATACCATGTAGCAAACTGAGCCATGATTTGCTTTAGCACTTTAGCTAGACCTAGAAAACAAGATGCATTTTGTCTTTTCAGGTGAGCGTGTGGGAGCCTTCACTGTGGTCTGCAAAGATGCTGATGAAGCCAAAAGGATAGAATCACAGTTGAAGATCTTGATTCGTCCCATGTACTCGAACCCTCCCGTCAATGGGGCCCGAATTGCCTCTACGGTTCTGAACAGCCCTGACCTGCGAAAACAATGGTAAAGGCTCAGTGACACTCCCCACCCTCCACCTTCCCCACCACTCAGCCTTCAAAGCTCGTTACAATTGGCCGCCAGTGACATACAGCTTCCGTATGTAGAAGGGGAGAAGAATGTGCGTTTTGTTAGCACTTTCAAATGAACACATTGGTTTTTCCCTGTAAGAGACAAACATGATTCAAAAATGGCAGTTTCTGTTGTTCCATCATTTCCAGGTTAAGAAAAGCCTGCCTTCTAAAGTTAAGCTCACATTGAAGTGCCTTACAGAAGAAAACTTTCTTAAGAACATCGTATTTTTTTATTTTTATCCTAATAATAGCATTGAATTGGTATTTCTGCGTATTTTGGGTTTTATTATGCATACCATCTGACTCTCTTGGCACCTCAGCTCTAAATTCGTGTTACTCGGTCTTTTTGACCACAGTCCAGGTGAGACACATTTTACCTGATGACCCTGAACACAGATGACCCGTATATGTATGTGTCTATAACTGAAACAGTTTCAAAACTCAGTGCTTAGGCTTTGTGTGCTATACTCCAACATTTTCTAAATGCCACTTGCATACAGCTACATTGAATTTATTGCCTAGTAATGGGTCATGATGCAATTTAAAAACCATTGCTGTGGATCAGAGGTTGGCAAACTACATTCTCCAGGTCAAATCTAGTCTGCCCCTTATTTTTGTAAATAAAGTTTTACTGGCACACAACTACATTTCTTGATGAAGTGTATATGGCTGCTTTCATGCTGTAACAGCAGAGTTCAGTAGTTGTGACAGAGAGCATATGGCCCATAAAACCTAACATGTTTACGATTTGTCCCTTTATAAAACGCTTACCAATCCCTGCTCTATATAATTTAGAGTTAATAAAAAGCCCAGATGCCTATGGAGGATGTGATTTGTTATACAAGAATTTATCCTGTGCAGCTGGTTAGATGAGGGAGTACATCTCTGAGCAGCACTGTGGATAGAAAAGCTGAATCTGCTGTCAGCTATCTGCAGAAAACGTCACCCGCAGTTCACTTAGCCATCATGTGACAACTGCTTTCTACCTTAAATTAATCCTGTGAACACTGAAGTAAATAGTCTGGTTCGGGATAGTTCTTTTCAGTACAATGAATCCATGCTAGACTTATAAAAAAATCCACTACGTTTTAAATTACAGTTTTTCATTATAAAATTAATGTGTAAGCACATTTCAGAAAGTTTGAGAAAGGGAAAAATAAACCACAAGTCACTATAACCCAGCTTTTTTTTTTTTTTAGCTGAGCCAGCAGCAGCTCAGCTTAGGCTGGGACTCGAACCGCTGTTGCTGTTAACCAGCTGAGCCACTTGTAACCCAACTTTTTTTTATTTGCCCATTATTATCCAGAGTTGTAATATACTGTGTACCATACTGTTACATATGTATGTGTAGGGTTGGTTTTGTTTTTGTCACTTAGAATTATACTAAGCTTGTATTTTTATTTTTTTTTTTAAAGATTTTATTGGGGAATTGGGGAAGGGGAACAATGTTGGGGTATCGGGAAAGGGGAACAGACAAGTTGCTGTCCTTTTGTTCTTCAGTCTAGTTGGGGAGGATGTCACTTCACTGGCCCATGTTGGTATGTGCTCTTCCCGGGTGAGGCAGTCGCTTGCTGGCCATTGGACAGCCGCTCACGGCAGCTCACGAAAGCGCATGCCAGCTGCCGGGCAGCCCAACTCCAGGTCGAGCTGTTGTTCACCATCTTAGCTGTAGAGGGTGCAGCATCACTAGCCCACATGTGGGATCTGAACCGGGGTCCTGCTGCTCAGAGCTGGCATCCCAAGCCAACTCTTAACCAATGCGCCACTCGGCCGGCCTTAAGCTCTTGTATTTTTTAATATTTTAAGTGTTCTTTTTTTTGTATTTTCATGGTCCCTAATGGTTATCAAGATTTTGTGGGGGTTTTTTTACATGTGCATTTCAATCATATTTGAAGTCTAGGGTACAAAGACAGCAAAGATACTGTGCTAGATGACTAAGACATCTCTACCCTTGGGAGTTACAATCTAGTGAGAGCGATCCACATATAGTATTGATACAAGACAGAATAGGATAAATGCTGACCAAAGGAAGAGCCACTGATTCTAGTGGGGAGTGAGGGAGGGTGTAATGAAAACAGCAGCATTTGAGCTGTGCCTTGAAGAGAGAAGGCTTTTCCCCCCAAATGAAGTAAAGGGGAAAACCGGACAGATATGTGCATGAGGAAAGGCACAGGTGTGCAATACACATCGTGTAGAATGTGCTTCAAAAATCCCAAGTGGTTTTGTGGCAAAGTCAGAGTGAGGAGCATGTGGAAGGCAGCAAAGCTGGGCAGGTGGGAGCAGATCACGAAGCACCTTGACTGACACTGAGAAGTCACAGCTTCTTTCTGTGGGCAACAAAGAGCATGGAGGGGTTTGCTAAGGTCACCCCAGATCTATCCATGGCCACACGCTCAGTGATCTTTAGGACCGAGGCCTCAAAGTGAATGGAGCTAGATGAGTTGCGACTCCAGGAAATGTAAACTCAAATGCTATCTCCAGAGGGGCCAGGGGTTCCAGGTCCAGCCAGTAATTACACTGCTGGTGCAGTGTTGCTACCGTCTCATTTTTCAAGGGAGACCATAAATCCATGTTTTTATGTGCAAGTGCCCAATTTAAAAATGTTTAACTGGGTCAAATAAAACATGACTGAGGGGCCGGCCAAGTGGCGCGTTGGTTAAGAGCTGGCTTGGGACGCCAGAGGACCCCGGTTCGGATCCCACGTATGAGGGCCAGTGACACTGCCCTCCACAGCTAAGATGCTGAACAACAGCTCAACCTGGAGCTGGGCTGCCAGGAGTCGCCGGTGACAGCGTAGACTGCAGCCCCTGCTGCAGTGGGTTGCCATGGGCTACCGTGTGTAGCCAGCGGCCGTCCAGAAGCCAGCGACTGATC